ATAAATTTTCAAGAAAACGTAATTGATACGTAATTCRTTAACAATATTGATAATAAATGTTCAATCTAGTGGATTAATTATTCATTGAATTTATTGATATTTCAGAAAAAATGTATATTTGGTACGTTTTTGCTCAATCCTTTAAGATAAAGAAACAGATGTTTCCTATAACGACAGGTAATTAATTAGTACTATTGATTACGTTAAAATTTCGATACAGGACCGGCCTAGATAACTAACAATTCATTAACTTCATAAGATAATACCGTTTTAGAAAAAAAAACGTATAGGACCTGCTCTACCCTCTATAATATATAGAATGATTGTTGACGTGAAACTGATATATGATTAACTGAGTTCGATCCTGTGTATTACACGAAGTGATTTAAAAAAATTGAATCATGTCAGAAAACTTATTTTACAGATTTGAATGTTTATTTCGTATTGTAATGTTTTAATTTAGAGTTTAATTTGTATAGTAATGTCTTTTAGCGTTTTAATTTCTATTATAATGTTGTACGTAATTTCGTAACATTTTGGTATATTATTATTTTTTAATTTATCGTTTAGTTCGTATTGTATTTTCTTAAAATTATAATATATTAAATGTTGGTATTAATGGGATTTGTTTGATAATATAATTTATTAAAAATAATATATAGATCTATACTATATTATAAAACATTTGATAAAAATCTTAAGAACCATTTTTTATGCATAAAGTATTGTTTATTGATGCACATTACTTAAAATTGAAGATTACAAGTAAATTGTGCATAAATACAACTTATTAAAGTTTCATATTTGAATTTGTGTAATTAACTGCAGATAAACATAATCAAATACAAGATAAATATCTCATTTTAAATATAAAAAGTTTAAAATATAATTAGTATAATCGTTGAGTTATACCAAAATACATAATTATTATGTTTTATAAAAAATATATTATTAAACCAAAAATAAAAAATGAATTACATAAATTACACAAAGAAAAGGAGAAATTTTACTTAGCTAGATACTAATATCAATATATACTTTTTAAAATTTAATGACATCTTAATATTTATATTTTATTTAAAAAAAACATTATCGTTTTCTCAAAACCACATAAAATCATATTATAACATCGACTGAGACAAAAATTAAATAAAACGAAACATCTAAAATGAACATGTGATTACACCGTGGTCACTTGTCATAAAGTGCAGGTTTTCGGAATAAATTCTCATCCTTTGTGTTTTATCATCATTTTAAAACTTTCAGAATAAACGGGGAAAAACAAGAAAATTGAGTATTTAATATACGTAAAAATGAAAGAAATAAATAAGAAATAACTCTAAAAAATGAGAGTAGTGAACAAAAAACCAGTAATCACAAATCCATTCACATGTGAGACTATATAAACTATTCATGCACCAAACATTACATATACGAAATAATCATATATGAACCAGTTTATTGAATAATAAAAAAATATATGAAATCAACAACCAATGAAACATACGAAATTTAATTAAGACGTTCGATATAAAGCTACGGAAATAAAGAAAAGCGGTTTTGGATAGATATCAGTTTTACTTGGATATACGTTTTGATTAAAAAACTAAAAGCAAAAGATAATATCACCTTTCTAATTAAAAAAATTAAAGAATTAAAAACCTTTTAAAAAGGTGGAAGATCAACGACTAAGGTGTCGTTTACCAAACGCTTACCCGGGTGGTAAGCGCTTACCAAGTCACTTTACTTTACCAGATGAATATGACAAGGACTAAAAATTTACCCGGTAAGAGCGAAAACAAGAATCGAAAGTCTTACTCGGTAAGTGAGGACGATGACTCTTACCATGGTTAGCGCTTACCAGGATAAATTGTTGCATGCGATGCGTTTTAGTGAATAAAATCTTACCCAGTAAGTAAACGATAATGTTGAATTTTACCGGTTTTAAAAGTATTTGTAGAAATAGGGTTGTTTTAAGGGGGATTCACTTTTTTTTTAATAATATGATTTTATACATTTTCATTTTACACCTTGTATATTTACAAATTTAACCCTCTAGCTTACATCTTTCTTTTTATTTATTTTTATTGTTTAAATTTTTTATTTTTAACCCTTATTGTATATTATGAATGAATTGATTTATTTAAAATATATACTAGAAGGGTACTCGCTCAATGCAGCGAGATACATCTTTATTTTAATGTTTCGTTTTATCTTTTGTCTTTGTTGATATATAATACGGTTTATGTGGTTTTGATAAAAATAATGTTTTTACTTTTGAATAAAAATAAATTCGAAGATATCAT